AACCCTCTGTATAGTATCTTTACAATAAAAAAAAAGAAAAAAAAAGACACAAAAGAGAAATAGACAGCATAAAAAAAAAAAAAGCCAGCCTGCGCAAGAAAGTTTGTGAGACCCGTCTCTAATTAACTACCAAAAGAGCCAGAAATAGAACTGTGGCTCAAGTGTTAGAGTACCAAATTTTGGCTTATTAATTTTATTCTAAATTTTGTTTTATTCATTTTACATGACTCAATTTTTAGTGCTCTCATATTTTATAAAGTAGTCTCAAAACCTTCTGTGCTTTACTTTTTCTCCTCAACACTGTGGATTTTGTTACTGGTTATTCTTTTTAGCTGCTGAATCATACTCCATCTTTCACCATGTAGATGTGCCACAGTTTTGCTTGCCCATTCTGTTGAGGAATATGCTTCCTGCTGCAGTCTCTCAGTGAAATTGTGTGAGAAGGGCTTGAGAAGTATACTCACAGGTTTCTGGGTGCTGAAGTGTGAACATCTTCAGGTCATAGAATACCAAGTTACCTTGCAGAGGGGCTGCCTCCTCCAGTTCACACTATCTCAGGCAGTTTACACTACCTCTCAACATCCCAGCTACCACCTGCTATTCTCTTGAATATGAAATGCAATTTGATTGTGCTTTTGTGTTTCATTTCTCGATTCCTACTGAATTTTTAGGTATCTTTATGCATCTCTGGTGCAGTTTCCTGTTTGAAATCTTTCTATATTGTTTGGATCCTTAATTATTTTGTCCTTGGATTGTTTTTGTGCAGAAAGTAGCGTGATTCTGAGCCCATTATTCACCTTCTGTCTGCACTTTGCTGTCATGTGTAGTGACATGGTTGGATTAGGTCTATAGAGCTCTCAGAGTCTATGAGTCAGGAAACATAAAATTATCCTGAGTCTGAACAACAGCAACAGAATTCTCCACACTGAAAAGATAGAAGCAGAGATAATGTGGGGGGGGGCGGGGGCAGGTCAATTTCTATTATAGCAAAGAACTTCTTGGATATTAGAAGTAGGAAACACCCCTTGAAAACCAAAGGAGTTTAGATCAATTTTCTTAGCTGGGTGCCAATGGCTCGCACTTATAATCCTAGCTACTCAGGAGGTCAAGATCTGAGGATCATGGTTTGAAGCCAGCTGGGGCAGAAAATTTGTGAGACTCTTATCTCCAATTAAGCACCAAAAAGAATTAGAGCTGTGACTCAAATGCAGAACACTATCCTTGAGCGAAACAGCTAAGGAACAGCCCCTAGGCCCTGAGTTCAAGCCCCAAGACCAGCATATATACTTAAAAAAAAAAAAAAAGGACTAGGAAGGTGGCTCAGTGGTAGAGCGCTTGCCCTGGGTTTGATTCCTCAGCAAAAAGAAAAAAGCTGGAAGTGGCGCTGTGGCTCAAGTAGTAGAGCGCTAGCCTTGAGCTGAAGAGCTGAGGGACAGCGCTCAGGCCCAGAGTTCAGGCCCCATGACTGGACCCCCCCCCCACAAAAAAAGCAGTGCTGTATACATCACCAGATAATAATCAAAAGAGTCCAGATTGAGAATATATAACATTTTAGGAAATGTTAAATAAATGAATAATATTAGTCATTGAAAGATTTTTGTTTATGGAAACAACTTGGCTGCCCATAAAGTCCTACATGCCTTCTAACAGAGAGGTGTACATTTAATTAAATTCGAACTAATGTGACATATTTGAGATTGCTTTTCATTGTTTCTAAAGCTTAACTCTCTTTAGAGGTATTATGCTAAAATATTTTTATCTAAAATAAAACAATAATATATTATTGGTTCCTCTACAAGTATTTGAACTTTTTGTAGAAAGTTTGGGCTCCTTTTATTTTTTGTTTTATATAAATTATAGTGTGAGCTTTTATAAATGGCAGGAATAATGTAATTTATTGGCCTCCAGAGCCAAGAGAAAAATATAGCTATGTATCATAGCTGACTGAATCGTCCATCTTAATGACAGGGTAATGTACTATCCAAAATGCTTGTCTGGGTCACATCTCTTAAAAGCCCATTTTGACCCAAAATTTTGCTTACTTTTCCAGTAAACCCATCTCAGATAGTAAATATTTTACTTAATTTGTTGCTGGCCCACAGTCCAAGTCTGAATTCATTTAATTAGTTCCTTTGTTATTTTGTTGGTAAGTATTAAAAACTTGTTTTGCACTAAGTATTTAGCAAGTTACAAGCTTCCTGCACTTGATGTGAAGAGGAAGACAAACATAAAATAAAAGGTAAGGGTTCCCCCTCTGCAGCTACCCTCCCCAGGATAGCAGTCCTGGTTAACTGTTTGGGACTTGGAAATGGTGATGTTTAAAAACAAAACAAAACAACTTTCTATGGCATGATTTCAAGTGAGAAAAATCTCATTTCAGGTTCTGAGCAATATTCACACAGTCAGAGCCACGTGGCAATCTAAAAAGCCCAAAACCTGGGCCTTTTCTCCCCAGGTAAGTACTCTGCTGAACAGTGGGATAAACATGAACTTTAAAGAGGAAGCTAGCAAAGTGTAATGCATTTAGCGACGAATTATGGGGTCAGGTTTAAACCTTTACATTCTTCAGTGTTCTTTGAAGGCGCTGATAAAAATTACTCATGTTTCTGACTCACCAAAGTTAAAATTCCTATGAATCATCGCATTCAATGGATTTCAATTTTAGGAAGTGCTCATTTGATGGAAATTGAAAAGAAGATAAAATGTAGGGAGTGAGGTGTTTTTTCAGGAGTTAAACCTTCCAATTGCTGATGGCAGTGATGTTTTCCTCAGATAAAATCAAAGGTGACGCCTAGGGGACTTAGTGCCTTATATTTGGGTCCTGTGGGTACTGGAATGAGGTTGGAGTTTCAGACCACTGAGTCAGTATTACATAGCTGCTAGTGAATCAAAGACACCTTTATGTTCTTTTTATAATATTGTCTGTGGTTGACTATAGTTTTTCTTGACCTCCAAGATTACTTCAGTATTTACTTCCTTCCCACAACTAACATCCTCATGTACTACACCCTAAAAACCTTTAATTACTCTTCCTCTAAGTGCATCAAAAGATTGCAGAGCAAGATAGAAGTTCAGTGAGAGGGCACAGGGGGTGGGAGACCCAGCCACACATGGGCTGTGTGAGCAGTATTCACACAGTCAGAGCATAGCTCCTGAACACCTTCCCTCAAAGACAAACACTGTTGATGGCCTATTGCTGTACCTGTGTTTATGGGAAGTGTTGAGGCTAGAATTTTAATATTTTCCCAGGATATTAAAGATGAGTTGTTGGGAGGGAAAAATAATAAATATATGTTAAATGTTGTATGAAATCAAGTTTGTTATGAGCCAGACTTCCTTCCCAGGTTCACAAGGCTTTCAATGTTAGTAGTGGAGAAACACATCATGAATAGGTAGTAGAGAAACACATCATGAATAGGAACATCCTCCATTTGTGGAGCTCTGGTCTTGTGCCAGGAAGGCCCCATGCAAGGCCCTTATATGCACCATTGTATTTAATCCTTAGAGCATCCCTGTGGGCTAGGCATTGGTAGGTATAACTCAGGTAGGTAGAGTGGAATGGTTATGGAGCTCCAAGGGCATTGGAAGCTTAGAGGAGGGTAAAATTCACTCTGGGCCTTATGCTTAGGAAGTGTCCTATAGAGGAGTAACAACCTTGAAGAATGGGTGTGTTTTCTAGGCAGGAAAGGGAGAAGCAATTGTTGAGGAAGAAGGACTGGGATGAGCATAAGGAAAGGAATCTTACTAGCAAGGCAGGCATCAGGGCAGTTAAGCAAATGCATTGTTCATTCCTAAATTTTAGTTTTGTTTGCAAACAACAAATGTAACTGTCTTATAATGTAGGCAAACTTGGGGTTTTTTTGGTTTGTTTTGTTTTGTCGGTCATGGGACTTGAACTCTGGGCTTGGGCACTATCCCTCTGCTCTTCAGCTCAAGGCGAGTGCTCTACCACCTGAGCCACAGCACCACTTCCAGTTTTCTAGTGGTTAATTGGAGATAAGAGTCTCAGGGACTTTTTTTGTCCGGGCTGTCTTTGAACCATGATCCTCAAATCTCAGCCCCCTCAGTAGCTAGAATTACAGGCATGAGCCACCGGTGCCCGGCAGGCAAACTTGTTTTGTAGCACTACTGGGGACTTACAATACCTTTGCTATTAGCTGTTACTCAGAGAAGTTACATGTTTATACTTCAAATCATTGGTCAGATGAATCTAATCCATCTATGTTTTATTTTCTTTAAAAGACCTACCTGAGTATGGTGGGTGGCTCAAGCCTGTAATCCTAGCTACTTGGCAGGTAGACATCAGGGGATTTATATTTGAGGCCAACCTGGGCCTAAAAGTTCTTGAGACTCTATCTCAATCAATGGATGAGCAATGTGCTACTCACCTATTATCCCAGCTGTATAAGAAGCACAATGGCTGGGTTCAGTGGCACATGCCTATTACCCCAGTGACAAAGGGAGGCACAAATAAGAGGATAGCCTCAACATAAAGTGAAACCCTACTATAAAAATAACCAATAGAAAAGGGGACTAGTCAGGGCTGGGAAGGTGGCTTAGTGGTAGAGCGCTTGCCTTGCATGCCTGAGGCCCTGGGTTCGATTCCTCAGCACCACATAAAAAAAAGAAAAAAGCCGGAAGTGGTGCTGTGGCTCAAGTGGTAGAGTGCTAGCCTGGAGCTGAAGAGCTGAGGGACAGTGCCTAGGCCCAGAGTTTAGGCCCACGACTGGAACCAAAAAAAAAAAAAAAAAGAAAAGGGGACTAGTTCTAGTGGTAGGGTACCTTTTTTAACAAGTCTGAGGCTCTAAGTTCAGCTCCCAGTACCTGAAACAGATAGATAGATAGATAGATAGATAGATAGATAGATAGATAGATAGATAGATAGATAGATAGATAGATAGATAGATAGATAGATAAACAGATAGCTCAGTTATAAAGCAAAATAAAAAACCACTGAGAGATAGGTGACTCTTTTCATTTGTGTAAATAACTTTGGTCTCTCTACCATTCCAGGTCACTGGCATCCTGCCATGCTTGCTTGATGGTGATTGTTTTATCAGGTCCAATTCTTCATCTCTAGATCTTGGAATATTATTTGAACTTGGAATTTCCTATATTCGCAATGTATGTCTATTAAAAGTAAAACCTTCTAATGAAGCACTGAAAAGGGAAGTGTTAGATATTTATCTATTAGGGAAGTGTTAGATATTTATCTATTTACAGGTAAAGTAGTAAAGGATTTTTGTATAAAATTTTAATTTACTCTCTTGAGGAAGGAGAATTGTAGTGATTCTAAATTTTTGTGAAGTACTGCTTTCTTAGTGACAATTGAAATAAGAGGGTATTTGTTTATATTTTAGCACTAGCAAACTCCAGCACTTTTAAAAAATGAAAATTAGCCAAGGCTGGGAAAGTGATTTTAAAAAATGCCAGGGGGTTCTAGCATAGGACCAGGTTGCTTCTGTCTTCCAGGGGCTGAGCACATTTAGCTTTGTAACTGAGAGTTATTAAGGGTCTGCAACATTTTAATTGTTTTCTTTGGGGGGGAGTGTTGTGGGGCTTGAACTCTGGGCTTGAGCACTATCCCTCAGCTCTTCAGCTCAAGGCAAGCACTCTACCACTTGAGCCACAACGCCACTTCCAGTTTTCTAGTGGTTTATTGGTGATAAGAGTCTCTCAGACTTTCCTGCCTGGGCTGGCTTTGAACTGTGATCCTCACATCTCCAGCCTCCTGAGTAGCTAGTATTATAGGCGTGAGCCACCGGCGCCCGGCAACATTTTAATTTTATAAAGAGAACACCACAAGCTTGGTTTAACTCATGTCACATGAACTATTCACCTGTGGTTGTGGGCTGTGCTAGCCACATCACTACCTTATAATAATAGCTTGAAAGGTGCAGTGTATAAAGATGGCCTAGTGGTTACCCAGAGAGGCATCACAGGGAGGTCACATTGAGAGTCCCCAAATGAGCCTTAGTGGTTTCTGGCAATTGACAGTGAAGTTAAACTTCTAAGCAGAAAGGCCCTGGAGTGAGTGTTTCTTCCTGTCCATGTGTATCAATGTGACTTGGAATCAGTCCATAAAATGTCCCTAGCACTCCAGATACAACAGCAACTGTGCTATACCAACAAGTTTAAGGGCCTTGCAAGAGCAATTTTTCAAAATACTGTCACCTGAAGTACCACCATCAATACCTGACCTGCAAGGAAAGTAGGACTCTTGTTTCATTGAATTTTCATGTGACGTATTGTTTAGTCCTAGGGGTGAATATTAATTGTGTTCCTTCAGAGGACTTGGTATATGCTTATAAATTTGACTAATCCAGACATTGCTTCATATCCTTATTTCTTAGTCAACTGGAGAAAGAGGAGAGTTAAGCTGTGGCTGGGTGTTTCTTAAACTTTTTGATGCCAGTGGTGTTCCTATTCCAGCAAAGTAAGTGAGCTTTGTATCCTTTGCCAATGAGGAATTTTGTAGGAATTCATTTTTTAGGACCTGGATAGCTCATGTGTTTTATCAGTATTCCTACACATTGAAGGGAAAGGAATTTTCATGTTAATTGTTAAGTTGTATAGGGAGTGTATGAAAACAGCACGCAGTCTTATCCTGGAGGGAAAATAGCTCATAGAATGGCTGTCTGCATGTGCAATCAAGAATTTCCTGTGGACTAGCTCTTCTTACCACGCTAAATGATGAGAGCAGGGAATGAGGCCAGGGCCCCAGGGCTTCTGGGACTCTCTTCCTTTCTTCTGTAGGCAGGCCATTGAAATCCCACTGGCAACACTGTAAACAGCTTTTGACTTTAATTGCAAAGGGCTGACTGAAAGCAAATACTGGTGACATATGTAGGAGAATTGGAAGATTACTGCCCTGATACAGAAAAGTTCTCAAAAGTTAATAAATGATTATTATCATTCTTAATGATAATAAAGTCTAGGATATATACAAGACACCCACACAGGCTGCAGGCTAGATGGGGGACTACTACCCCAACAGTGTCTACTACTACAGCTCCAGGGTCTGGTCCAGCTCTGCCTGAGTAACTGGGCAGGTTCCTTCATTTTGCCAGACCTGAATTTCCTTTATTTCTTTAATATGAGGAAATCATTTCCATCCCTAAGGCTCAATTTAGCAGGTTAATTTAGATAACACTCCTCAGTTGGCCTCCTTACCTCTGGGCAGAGGTAAAAGACCTGACCACTAGTTGTCTGGTGGTACCCCAGCACCCTGAGTGAGTATAGAAACCTAAGTTTCTTGTGATTTGTTTTTAAAATACGTTGAGTTTTAAATTGTACTTAGGAGAACTAAGAAAAAGTACAGTCTCCATCATTCTAAAAATGAAACCACACCTGCATTTTTAATGAGGTGAGCTCTGTATATTAATATTAAATTTTTCCCAGTATACATTATATGAAAAAACTAAGTCATAGAATAGCCTGGATACTATAATTCTACTTCTGATCATTTATATCTACTTGTTAGCCTATGTGGTTCTGGGTAAACTGTTCCCAGGGATTATATTTGAGAAGCAGAATTAAGGAGATGGTGCAGTAACACTAAAAAGGGCCTCTAAAGCTTTGTTTTCCACACTCAGTCAGTATGGGAGGGCTGCTCAGTAAAAAGTTCTAGCCTAGCCATGTGCAAAGCCCTGGGTTTAATCCCCAGCATCATAAAAGGAGAGGAGAATGCTGGGAGAGAGGGAACAAAAGAGGAAAGAACAAATGGAGGGAAGGAGAGAGGAAGGGAAATAAAAAAGGGAGAGGAAAGTACAGAAAAAGATAGGGCAGTCTGGGCGTCAGTGGCTCATGCCTATAATCCTAGCTACTCAGGAGGCTGAGATCTGAGGATTGCGGTTCAAAGCCAGCCCGGGCAGGAAAGTCCTCGAGACTCTTTTTTTTGGGGGGGGGGTGTCTGGTCGTGGGGCCTCAACTCTGGGCCTGGATGCTGTCCTTCAGCTCTTCAGCTCAAGGCTAGTGCTCTACCATTTGAGCCACAGCGCCACTTCCGGCTTTTTTCTTTTTGCTTATGTGGTGCTGAGGAATCGAACCCAGGGCCTCATGCATGCAAGACAAGCGCTCTACCACTGAGCCACCTTCCCAGCCTCTACATGTTACTTTTATATTTTATTTTTTAATTTTTTAAATTTTTTTGGGGGGGTCTGGTCGTGAGGCCTGAACTCTGGGCCTGGGCGCTGTCCCTCAGCTTCTTCAGCTCAAGGCTACTGGCTTTTTTCTTTTTGCTTATGTGGTACTGAGGAATCGAACCCAGGGCCTCAGGCATGCAAGGCAAGCGCTCTACCACTGAGCCACCTTCCCGGCCCCATACTTTTATATTTTAAAAATGATATAAAGCTATGATGATTATTTCAAATAACAATTCAACAAATTTGAAAAGTTCATTAAAAAGTTAATACTTATTTACATATTAACAGGAATTACCTGTAAAATTGTTTAAATAATACCAATCTGACTCATTTTCTTGTGTGAAAATATATTTTCTACATTTTTATACTTAAAAAGTCTAAATTTGCTGAGATGGTTTCTCATGGAGGGATCACCATCTATCTTCTCACTGATGAAGTATAAATAAATGTCTGTGAATATCTTTGAGTTGATAATACTTCATCACTGACCACAGCGATCAGCCAGTGCTCATGACATGCCCATCACAGTGTACTGTTCTCTTACAGAACATATGAGCTCTTCTTGAATGGAGGCACTCCTTATGAAAAAGGTGTTGAAGTGGACCCTTCAGTATCCAGAAGAGGTACAGCTCTTACACAGTGCTTTCTGTGCTTGTCAGCTGCTGCTGCTGCTTCTGCTTCTTCTTCTTCTTCTTCTTCTTCTTCTTCTTCTTCTTCTTCTTCTTCTTCTTCTTCTTCTTCTTCTTCCTTCTTGTTCTCCTTCTGTTTCTGCTTCTCTTTCTGCTTCTGCTTCTCCTTCTGCTGCTCCTTCTCCTTCTCCTTCTGCTTCTCCCACTGCTTCTGCTTCTGCTTCTTTTGCTTATTCTTTTTCTTCTGCTTCTGCTTCTCCTGCTTCTGCTTCTTCTTCTTCTTCTTCCTCCTCCTCCTCCTCCTCCTCCTCCTGCTCCTTCTTCTTCTTCTTCTTCTTCTTCTTCTTCCTTCTTCTTCCTCCTCCTCTTCCTCTTCTTCTTTCCTCCTCTTCCTCCTCCTCCTCCTCCTCCTCCTCCTCCTCTTCTCCTTCTCCTTCTCCTTCTTCTTCCTTTCTCAGTTGTGGGGCTTGAACTGGACCCAGGCTCTTCAGCTCAATCACTTCCAGTTTTCTGGTGGTTAATTGGAGATGAGAGTCTCACAGACTTTCCTGCCTGGGCTGTCTTTGAACCATGATCCTCAGATCTTAGCCTCCTGAGTAGCTAGGATTACAGGCATGAGCCACCAGTGCTTGGTACAGCTTCTTGACACTAACAAAACACCTGATCTTAGCTCATGGTTTCAGTCCATGGGCCTCTGTTGCATTAGACCAGTGGTAGTGCATCATGGCAGAAACATGAAGCAGAAGAGCCTGTTACCGCAGAAGAGCCTGTTACCACAGAAACAGACACAGGAAAGGGCTGAGGTCTCAGTCCCCTTCAAAAGCATCCCCATGATCTAACTTTCTTCCAGTGGGTGCTGTCTCCTAAGAACTCCATCACCTCCCAATAGTGCTACAGATGAGTGACTAAGCTTTTAATTCATGGGCCTTTGGGGAACTCAGATCCAAACCATAGCACCTTCCTTTCCTTAAAGATTAAAAAATAGCAGGTGCATTCAAGAAGGAAACTTCTAGTATACATAACATTTTTCACATGGATTCACTTTTTTTTTTGTCAGTTGTGGAGGTCCTGAGTGCTGTCCCTGAGCTTTTTCACTCAAGGCTGGCACTTTACCACTTTGAGCCACAGCGCCACTTCCAGATTTCTCGTGGTTAATTGGAGATAAGAGTCTCTTAGACTTTCCTGCTGTGATCCTCAGATCTCAGCCTCTTGAGTAGCTAGGATTACAAGCATGAGTCACTAGCACCTGGCTGGATTCACATTTTTAAAAATAGAGCCTTTGCTATTAAAAGCTGAGTCATTTTAATCTCAGTGTTTATTTTCTTGGGAGCATGTATGCAATTCCAGTGTAGGAAATCATGAAGAATGAGGATTCTGCATTAGTTCCTTTTCATGGAACACTGAGCTGATATTTGTAACAGAATGAACCAAATAGGCTAGTTCAGAGATTGCTCATTGCTAGGTCAAAGGCTGGAGACATCTGATATTGTGTTGTGCATGCCAAGTTGCCTTCCAGAAAGATAACACCTTTTAATGTCATTGCCCAAGCAGTGTGCCAGAGAATGGGAAAATGGAAAACAGGGCAGGTGTGGTTCTTTCCTCGTGGAGTCCGAAGTTGAAAGACTCAGGATGAGGTGGGCACTGGTAACTCACACCTGTAATCCTAGCTACTCGGGAGGCTGACATCTGAGGATCATGATTTGAAGCCAGCCTGGGAAGAAAAGTGCCCATGAGACTCTCATCTCCAATTAACTGCTCAGAAAACAAGAAGTGGAGCTGTTGCTCAAAGTGGTAGAGTGCTAGTCTTGAACAAAAAGAGCTCAGGGACAACACTCAGGCCCTGAGTTCAAGCCCCACAACTGACAAAAAAAAAAAGACTCTGTTTGGTTATTCCTCAGCCATTTCTGTCCTTGTTTTGGTGACCCACCACTCTCACCAATGTGCTGCCCTGACCAAGCCCATCTCCTACCTTCTGGAAACAGGAAGGATTGATCTCTGAGTTGCAGGTGGCTCTTAAGAGAGCCAAATGTGCTTTCCAAACTCCCTTTCCTTCCTGGTAATTGGCAATACCAATACTGTAAAGCATGTGACACAGTAGCCAATAGGTGCCCCAAGGGAAGTACGTGGGCAGTAAAGTTTCTCTTCACCTCTCCATCACTCATTGAGGAATAAGTATGCATGAGTCCTGACTTTCTGACAGCCCAGCACCACTGATGGTATAGTCTCATCAAATGTTTGTGTTAGTGCAGGCTGTCCCAAGCACTTAATCTGTGTGTATTTTTTTTTCAAGCACAGGGCAGTGTTTTCCACCAGATGATGAGCATGCGAAGGCAGCCTCAACTTCTAGTGAAACTGAGGTCTCTGAACAGGAGATCAAGAAACATGCTAAGGTGGGTGCCTGCTCTTGCCTCTGTAGCCTTCTCTTCATATGCCACCTCTGCTTTTGCTTCTCCATCTGTTTGGTTGTCTTTTGTCAGTGCTTTTTTCCTCATTAATTGTCTGCCAAAGATCAGTAGGAAAATGTAACCAAATAAACCTTAGATTCTCTTACTCCTGCTTATCAGTTAGTTCAAATGAGATTTGGTTATAAGTAATTTTCAGACTTGAATAAACAGGACTTTCCAACCCACGAGCCTATCCTCAGGGACCTTTTCTTTTTTTAAGTGTTAGGTTTATTGGAGCTTAGTTTACATGCAGTAAAGTTTTCCCTTTTGGCAGTTCTGACAAACCCAGTAGTGTAGCAGCCCAAGATAGACAATGTCCCCTCACTCTAAAAAGTTACCTCAGGTCCCCTATAATCATCTCTTAGCTCCAACCTCAGGCAATCACACTTTTGCCTTTTCCTAGCCTTCATGAATGTAACCATGCTGTGGGTAGACATGAGGATGGTCTTTCACTTGGCATAATGCACCAAAAGTTAACCCATACTGATGTGTATGTGCTAATAATTTGTTCCTTTCCTTTTAAATAGTACCCTGGTTGTTTTTGTATGCACACTAGTTAATAAACATTTAACTTGTGTCTGGATTTGGGAAATTATACATTTAGCTACTTCAGATATTTCATACAAAATTTTGGTGTGTAGATGTATGCCTAATTTTTTATGTGTAGAAGTACCTAGATAGAAGTTATTGGAGCATCCAATGTTGGTTTCTGTTTATAAGAAACTGCCAAACTGTTGTCCAAAATGATCAGTACTTGGTATTATTGTTATTTTCTGCTTTGCCCATTCTAAAATGTGAGTAATGTTTTCCATGGTGATTTTCATTTGCATTTTTCTCAGGGAGCTTTTCCACTAGTAAAATCCCAGATCTACCAGTTTCTGTCTTGGGGTCTCAGTATTATTAATAATACTCCTAACTGGAGCTATGATGAGCTTTAGTAGAAACAAAGTATATAAAACACTTAGCCTATGTGTATAATACATACCAGTCTACGTGTATAATACGTACCACAAAGTAAAACAGTAGTGTTCACTGTAATTACTTACTGTTATAAGTATTATTTACTATTATAATTATTTACAATCATAGATATCAGGTGTAAGTATTACACCAGATAGATGGTACCATGTTGTAAAATTTGTTCAAACAAAGGTGTACTTTGTTGCTGGTAAGATCAGAAGATTCAGAACGGGTTTTGATGGCCTGGAGGGATATAGCATTGGAATGATGTAGAAGAAGGGAACTTTCCACAGGGGATACATGGAGGATAAAAAGGAAGGAAAAGCCCAGTGTAGAGACAAATCTGATGCAATGAACTGTCCTCAGGCCATGTTTACTGCTTGTAGCTCATCAAAGGTAAGGGAATGGCCAGAGACGGTATTCATACCTGTAACCTTTGCTGCTTAGGAGGAAGAGATCAAGAGGATCGTGGTTTGAACCATCTGGACATAAAAATTTCATGAGACCCCATCTCAACTTTAAGAAAAGGAAAAAAAAAGAATAAATAAAAAGCTAACATGATGACAAGTACCTGTCATCCCAGCTGCAAGGGAAGTGTAAACAGATGACTGGTTCAGCCCAGACTGACCATAAATATGAGACTCAATTTGAAAAATAACTAAAGCAAAAAGGTCTAGAGGTGTAGATTAAGTGGTAGAGCATCTATCTACCTAGTGACTGATGCAAGGCGCTGAATGCAAACTGAAAAAAAAAAAAAGGCAGGGAAATGACAGGAGACTCAATGTTCCTCTCTGAATGGTATCTTTTCCTCATTTCAGATTGTGGTCTTAGTTTAAATAGCCCTTATTCTGTATTTTATAATTATACTATTAACAACTAACCCCTTCAGTAACCCTTAATAATGTATCCATGGGTATTACCTACTCCCGGCATTTTTTTTTCCTTTCTGGAGACTCACCGAGCCTCTAAATTCCTTTTTGGGTCAGTCTTTGCTTGGAAAATTGTTCTTGTAGAAAGCAGCACAGTAGCAGCCTTTGTAAGAGAAAAGCCAAATCCCACCTGGCTTTGTTCTTTCTCCTCCTTCAGTGCCCCATTGCTCATCTGTAGGTGATGAGTACTCCTCCTCATGTCTGTCAAAGGCAGCTCCAAATGAGGTTTACTTGGCTTCAAATGCTGGTTGTCACATAGTTTTTCTGGTCTCAAGATCACATTGGAGTACATGGCACAGAGGTCAGAAAGCAACTCATTCACCTGACACCAAAAATACCTGTCCACAATTCAGGTCATTGTCTTCCAGGCCTCAGAAACTGAGTGAGGTTCCTCAGCACACAGTATACCCAGAAAGTGTTTGCAAAATAATTTTCCAGCAAAGGTCTTCCTACTAGTTTACTTCTTAAGAACTTTGCTCCTTCTAGCCTTGGTGTCTCCCGCAACTCCCAGATGTGTCCTCTTTTTTTCCCCAGAGCCCACAGACTTGAGGACAGTCTTGAGACTACCACTGTGCTTTGCATGCCTCTGGAATGTGTGTGGCTAGTTGATGTCAAGCGTGGCTGGGCACTGTGCTGCTGTGGGCCCCAGCCCAGGCTGGCTGTCACAGAAACCAGGCCATGGGCCATGGTGAGAGGCTAAGCATGTGGGCTTTAGGACATGGAGGTGGAGATAGGCAGGACTGATCCACTCCAGCACCCTCACCCCCCTCTCCCTGCCACCTTCAATGGGGAAACAAATGACAGATAACATCACTCTCAGTCTTCAAAGGGACACCCCCAACTGTAACTCCAGCATTCCTTGCCTACTAATCTCACCTTTGTTCTGGAGGGGGGGCCTGGAAGTGGGGAGTGTTCCTTTCACTATACCAGGGAGTACACAAGAATAAAGGCAAGGCCCCAGGTAATAAGCCTGGTTAGATTTTACACTGGTGTCCAGCTTTTCCCATGATTATCCTTTTTTTTTTTGATATTAGAAATTCTGTTGATCTTTTTCTCTTTCTTTCTTCCTTTCTTTTATTGTGAAAATACTGTACAGAGGGGTTACAATTACATGGGCAAGATAATGAGTACATTTCTTATCAAGCATTGTTGCCTCCTCCTTTGTTTCCCCTTCCCATCCCTTCCCATACTCCACTCCCACCCCTCTTCCCCCCCCCCCCCCGGCCAAAGTTGTAAAGTTCGTTTTTTGACATAACAACTTGTACATCTCATTGTTGCAGTGGATCCACCTATATCACTATTTAAACGATTTTTTTCCCTTCCCCTCCACAAATTATACCAACATCAAATACAGTGAATCCCATGGTTATCTTTACACTGCCACCTCACACAGCCAGAATTCTTATGTAGTGTTTGTGTGTGTGTGTGTATAGTGTGCACGCACACATGCATGTGTATGTACTTCACAAGACTTGTAGAAATAGACATGAACCAGTGCACACCATCTCCTCTACCAGGAAAGCACCTGGAGTTCAGCAGGGTTTGTTTTTTTTTATTTTTATTTTTTTATTTTTTTTAATTCTGAAAATATCGTGCAGAGGGGTTACAATTACATGGGCAAGGTAATGAGTGCATTTCTTATCAAGCATTGTTGCTTCCTCCTTTGTTTCCCCTTCCCATCCCTTCCCATCTACCCCCCACACTCCCCTCCCCCAGTTCAGCAGTTTTGTTTGCAGTCAGTTGTGATCACAGCCACCTGTCACTTTGTTAGGAAGCAAATAGATGCTTCCGTATCACCAACTTGCCTTTCTAGTTTGGGGGCTATTTTCAAAGGATATAACTTAATGTGATTTGGCCAAGAGCATATAGCTATGCCCCTGGGGAGGGGATACTGTAAATTCACACTCTCAGAGCTCTGATTGCCTGCCAGCAATGGTCTGTACAAGTCAGCTGTGTGTGCATATGTGTAAATTTGCTATAAATGTACTTACCTACGCTTTTTCTATGCATTCCATCTTTCTTTTATTTCAATCATATTATTAAAGATTAAGGGAAGAGTGTTACTTGTTTAAGGCACTTTTACCACCAGAGTTTGCTAGTCTGAAGTTAGAAGAAAACATTTTTACTCTCAGCTCAGCTAAACTTTTATAGCCTAGAACTTGCTAGGTGTAGAAAAATCAGGAGATTTCTGTAAAGAACAGCTAGTAATAATTATAATGACTGGATCACCATTGCCTCATGCTGTTGGCGGGTGCCAAAGGAGAGGAATGCCCACACCCAGGGAGCACCCCGCCTGCCACTCAGACAGAGCAGCCTGGAGAGGAGAGGGCCAGTGGAAGGAAGGAAGGTGCCACCTTTCCTCTGGCACCAATGGCCATTCTTCAGCATGGGCCCTGAGATTGAACATGCAACTGGACCTCTGCCCATGCAGGCGTGGACTAGAGGGCAGGGCAGAGAGAACCCTGACAGGCATGTGATGGCATAGAAGTAGCTTATATGTACCTTCAGAGCAGCAGGCTCTGAAATCTAAGTCATATAAGAATTTTAGCAGGAGCCAGGCACCAGTGGCTCTTGCCTGTGATAGTAGCTACTCAGAAGGCTGAGATCTAAGGATCACGGTTTGAAGGCAGCCCAGGCAGAAAAGTCCCTGTGAGACTCATCTCCGCTACTACTCAAGCCGTAAGTGGTGCTGTGGCTCAAGTGGTAGAGGACTAGCCTTGAGCACAGAGACTCAGGGACAGTGCCCAGGCCCTGTGTTCAAGCCCCAAGACCAGCAAAAATAAAAAAAATTAGGGTTGGTTCTATGTACTAAATTAGTGGTTATAGATGGAAATGAGGCAAGAGAGCTTTATCCTGAACATGTATACATATATATACATACATACATATGTGTGTATGTATTTATACATGCATGTATGTATGTATATGTATTATGTATCGTGTAGAACTGGGGTTTGAATTCAGGATCTTGTACTTGCTAGGCAGGTACTCTACCACTTAAGCCACACCAAGCCCTTAATTTGCATTTTTTGTTATTTTTTGCTTTTTGTGTCAGTTCTGGAGCTTGACTTCAGGTCCTGGGCCAGTCCCTGAGCTTCTTTTGATTAAGGCTGGCACTATACCACTTGAGCCATAGCTCCACTTGCAGTTTTTTTTGGTGGTTAATTAGAAATAAAAGTGTCACAGACTTTACTATCTGGACTGGCTTTGAGCCAAAATCCTCAGATCTCAGCTTCCTAAATAGCTAGGATTACAGGTGTGAGCTACAAGCATCCAGCTAGCCTACATTTCTTTTAATGTTTCTAGAACTGTAAGGGTGAGGAATAGTCAAGGATACTTATGTAAATTCCGTGAAACTAAAGACCCATGGAGTCCATCACTATACAGCACATTCACTCTTCTCTTCCAGACATCTAGAAGCTATAATAGTTTTCCCATCTAAAATTCTCTAGAAATAAAGCTAAGGAATAGTTTATCAAGATTGAGGTATGGTTTGTAGCCTTTTAGTTGTGAGCATCCTAAGCATCTAAACAAGTCTCTTATAGGTAGCATATAGTTAGATCTTGTTAATCCATTCTGCCAATCTGTATCTTTTGATTAGAGATTTTTAGTCTGTTTATATTTAATTACCATAGGAAAGACTTTAATTTAGGCATTTTGTTACTTGTTTTTTGTATGTCTTGTAGTATTGGGGGTTTTGTCCTTCATGTCCTCCTGTACTACTTTTCTTTGTTCGATTTATTAATGAGAGTTTTTTTTTGGTCGGTGGTAGAACTTGAACTCAGGGCCTGGGTGCTGTCCCTGAGCTCTTTTTGCTCAAGGCTAGACCACTTTGAGTCACAGCTCTACTTCCAGAGGGACGTTTTTATTCATTCGACAAAACAAGAAGGTAATTTGCTTCCCTTTTACCTTCCTTGTGTTTATATTCTGTGTATATTTTCTTTGCAGCTACCATGTGAATTACCTGTCATATCCCAAAGTTATGATAATTTATTTTAAACTAATACTTTAATACTGAATTGTTTTCTATTTTTTGAGCCCTTTCTACATAACAGATACTACATTAAGCATTCCACACTTAACCTCATTTTAATCCTGTTTTTTTTAATTGTTTTTGTTTGTTTGGTTTTTTTGGGGGGGGAAATGGGGGGGTCCGGTCGTGGGGCCTGAACTCTGGGCCTGGGCGCTGTCCCTCAACTCTTCAGCTCAAGGCTAGCACTCTGCCACTTGAGCCACAGCGCCACTTCCGGCTTTTTTTCTTTTTGCTTATGTGGTGCTGGGGAATCGAACCCAGGGCCTCATGCATGCAAGGCAAGCGCTCTACCATTGAGCCACCTTCCCAGCCCCTTGTTTATTTTTTAAAAAATAGTTATCTTTGGCAGTTTTGAGGTTTGAATTCCAGGCCTCATGATTGCTAGGCAGGTGCTCTGCAACTTGAGCTATACTCCCAGCCCTGTTTTGCTTTAGTTATTTTTCAGTAGAGTTTCTCACTTTTGCCCAGGGCTGGCCTTGAACTGTAATTCTACCCATGGCTTTCAAGTTGCTGGGGTTACAAGTATGAACCTCCACAACTGGATTATTTGTTGAGATGGAGTCTTGCTAATTTATTTTCCTGGAATGGCCGCAACTTTGAAGGTGTTCCTGAGTAACTGGGGTTACAGTCATGAACCACTGCACCCAGCCCTTATTTTAATCCTTTTAGTAACCTGAAATGCAAGTATCACTCTCCACATTCTACATATGAGGAAAGGAAAGCACAAGCACCTAGCTGCCAAGTCGGGACTCCGTCCGGTTCTCGCATGTCCTCCACATCCCGGCCAGCCCATAACCAGTCTGTGCTGACACCCTCTCCACCCACCACACCCGGCATGCCTGCCACAAGTCTTCGTTCACTCTTCTACTCACTTGTCTCTTTCTTTCCAGAACCTGTGATTGACAGCTTTTCATTTGGCATTTGATATAGGCATACACACAGATGGTAATTCACAGCTGAGGTTTGAAAAAGTACACCTAAGGGGGGAGGCTGGGAAGGGATGTGAAGGGTAAACAAAGGAGGAGGCTGCAATTCTTGGTAAGAAATGTACACATTATCCTGCCCATGTAATTGTAACCCCTCTGTACAGTATGTTCACAAATAAAATAAAATAAAATTAAAAAAAAAAGAAAAAGTACACCTAAAAATGCAGGTTATCTGAAGTGGCCAAGGTATAGTGGAAATTTCTCCTTAAATTATAAAAATAGTCTCTAATAACAAAGCAAACTGTTAAACTACTCATTAAAGTAATACACAGTAAAACAATTTAGATTACATTGCAGGGGGTTGTTTAATGAATCCATGTTTTTTCTTGTGTAATAGTCTGCTGCCAGAAACACTGATTGGAAGTATGAGTTCCTCTCGCCTCTTGGTATTTTATCGACAAATCCTTGGAGATGTGCTTCTGAAGGACAGAGCAAGCCTGCAAAGTGCTGGTAAGGCATCCCAGCCATTCTCTCACATGCCTTGAGCGTATGTGGTTGTGCCTGTGCCAGTCTGTGTCTTCCACATAGAAACATGACACAAGCTGGGCACCAGACCTCAGGAGGCTGAGGTCGGAGGATTGTGGTTTGAAGCCAGCCTAGGCAGGAAAGTCTATGAGACTCTCATCTCCAATTAACCACCAAAAAGTCAGAAGTGGAGATGTGGCTGAAGTGGTAAAGCACTAACCTTGAACAAAAAAAAACAGATATAGTGCCTAGGCCTGAGTTCAAGCCCCAATACTAGCACAAAAAAAAAGGGAAGGGAGGGGAGGGAGAGAAAGAAGGGGGAAAAAAGAAGGGAAGGGGGAAAGGAAAGAAAGAAAAGGGAAGGGAAGGGAGGAAGGAAAGAAAGGACACATAGAAATATATCAAAATAACATCCGTATTTGTACATTATGTATAAGACTACAGATTCTGGAGCTTTGAGATCTTGAAACCCATATGTGATCACATTTCCTTTTATTTTCTCTGGATAATCTTGTTTTTACTACACATTTGCTGAGCATGCCATCTTTTGGGGAAGAAAGCACAATCCCCCTGCATAACTGGTGCTTAATGCACCAGTGAAATGTCAGTGTCAGTGGTTTACTCTGAAACCAATTATTTAAAGAAAAGAGTATTCCATATACCATGCACTGTTTTTTATTCTGGCAGCTTCTTGTTGAGTTTGAACATTTCTCCAAGTAAAATGTTAAAAACTAATTTAGAAAACCAACAAGCTGTCATACATGAATAAACTTGCCAAGAGAAATGTGTATGTTCTATGACTTTAACAAAAATCACTTTCATGCTGGTTGGGTGTTCTTTGAGCTCAGTGAGTCAATAAGCATCTAGATATGTCCTGTTTGCTTCATGTAGGTTTGGTGATGACTGAATCAGGCACGGAATCAACAGACCACACACAACAGAGGGCACACTAGGATCGCAGTGGGAAAAGCATTCTCTGAATGAGAAAGGCTGAAGATGAGAGCAGGAATGGAGGAATTAGATGCATGGTGGAAAGGCTGGATGAGATCCCCTCTGAACAGAGGGAGCAGCATGTCTGAGATCCTGGCAAGAAAATGTGCTGCTATCAGAGCAGCTGACATTGAAGGCAGACAGACAGTGTGGATGAGTGGAGCAAGGGGAAGCCCTGGATTGTCCTAGTGATGTTCCTGTGGGTACCACCTAGACAGGGAGAGAGAATGGAGCTCAAAGCCTGAAAGCACAGCTACTTCTCAAGGAATAACTCTCTCTCTTGACCACCACATGCCTTTGAGTTTAATGGCTATAGATATCTTTTCTGAAAGACAGGAATCCATAAAGAGAATAAGATTATTAGGTTTTCCAAAGTTACTTACAACTGTTGGCTTCCTTTAAGTTTGACCATCAGAATAAGCTCCTTAAGATCTAGAGAAAGGATTGGTTTCTACTGAGAACACAGGGTTCTAGAAGGTATTGCCTTAGCCATTGCAAAAGCATCTGCTGTGGCTTGAATGTGTCTCCTCCAGACTGCATGTGTGGCCACTGTGATGGTATGAAAGGAGGTATCTTTGGGAAGTAGTTTAGCTGTCAAGGCTTCTCATGGATGGGATTGGGAGGCCTCACAGAAGGGCTTGACTGCTTTCTGCCATAGAACACACTATTTCTCTTCAACAGAGTTCATAGTAGGCAACCCTCAGCAAACACCAGACGCTGGCACCTTGACTGGACTTTGATTGGACTTTCTCATCTCCAGAACCATACAGTAGACATTCAATTTGTCAGTTATCCAGACTCGGGTATTCTAAGCTATCCTTGCTGGTGTGCTTCCTTGCACAGGGCTTTCCTGTGATTGGATTTCCTGTGGAATACCAATAGCTTCCCAGAATCCACAGCTCCCAATTCCTTCCAGAGCCATCTACTACTCTCCACTGGCCTTGGACACAGTCTGGGATCTTTCCTTGAGCACTGATAGCCTGAGTCAGACCTGAGCAACCAGGCCTCTGCCTCCTTTCCCCTATTGCTGCTACTTGATCTTGGCAGCCTCCCACGAGCAGGGCCTGTCCTAAACAGAATGGCCTTCACCACATCTCAGGCATGAGGAAGAGGTGGAAATACGAAGGATGTCACGGGCAGAAGAACTGAGTGTGTGTCTCTCTCTGTTTACAGCCACCTAGCCCCTCACCCTGCAAGTTCTATTTATTTACTTATTTCAGACCTCCCTGGGATAAAGTATAAGGGCTGATGGATTTTGAGGGGGAAGTTTTGAGCCCTCCGGGTGTTATCAACATATCAGTTGGCAGGAGAGTTTTAATAGAGTGGATATTTTGATATCTATTGAAGTAAAACATGCTGAATGGAGTTAATCTAATGTATTCTGTCTGTTCTTGTGTATTCCAGAGTTAATTAGTCATCCAGTGCTGGCCACATTCCCCAAGCTCTGGGAGCAGACTGATGTGATGGACGCTCTCAGGGTAGGCAGCCTCTGAAGTGGTTACACACACTATGCTAAAGAGTCCTGTCATCTGTTCTAGGCTTCGTTTTCTTAGGATAGCGTCTCCCAGCCAGTCTGTAGTCTAACTACCTCCTAAAGCTAACTCTTAACTCAGCCTCATCCTTCTAATGTGAGTGTGAGTGTTCCTTCCTGCCAGTGAGCAAGGGCGGTGCTGCTGTCATGATGGCCCAGAGACATGACCAGACGGGCCACGGAACTCAGGAACAACAAAACCAGGGCTGTCGTGCTGCGCCCGCTTCAAGTCCCCCCTAATGTGCCACAGGCCATTTAGGAAGGCATAAGCAAAAGCGTTCATATTCATTAAGTGAAAAAAGTTAAGTTATATTGTCTATTTACACACACACACACACACACCTCTGCCTGTGAGGATCAGGAAGCATATACTGTATATGTTGTGGTGATTACAGGTTATTTTATCTGTATATTCTTAATTTTCCCCAGTGAATGATTTATATAATAAATGCTAAAGTTTCAAAAGCATGTTGCTCCTACAAGTTTGAGCTTCATCTTCATGGCCTGCTGTGACTTTGGATGAGCTAGGCCATGCTGCAGTGCCTGACTTGGCAGTGTTTCTTGCTCATAGTATTCAACCAGCATAGGTCAGTGGAAGACATGTTCCACTGACCCACAGGTCCCACCAGCTCATAGCATTGTCTGGGTTGAGCAGCTCCTTGGTACCATTTGCACCAGCAGGAAAAGAGAGAAATAGAGGACTGTCCTTGAGGTTTCCACTGTCTTTACCCAGGGCCTGGGCCACTCCCACTCACATTTATTGGCCAGAGCCAGTCACATGGTCCACTTAAAGAGAGCTAGGACCTTAGTGCAGTGGTAGTAACCCACATAGTTTTCTATCTCCACCAAATTCTTCTACATGGAACACCCTCCGCTCTAGTCAGAGGGAAATCTTTACCTTCAACTAACAAACAAGAGACAGATTTTATTAGGCAATAAAGCTAAAGTTGCTAAGTGCTATTCACATTAAGCCATATTATCTTTTCAGTTTTTTTCCATGGGACAAATTATCTTTTCAGTTCTACATTATTAAATGTATGAGCCCTCCTACCTTTTCCTTAGCTAAGTTCAGGTTGTGGTTGGTATTTTCATAATAATGACACTTGGATATTTCGTGAAACATTGGTTCTCAGTGCATCCTCTCCATGCCCTGGAGGACCTGCTGGCAGTAGTTACACAATGCCATGGGCACATTCCAAGACCTCCTGAGTGGCAGCACCTGTGACCTGGCAAGCAGCTGCTCTTTGTGGCATGGGCAATCCCTTTCTAGGTATGAGTCCATATGTACCTCAGGTCCTTCTAAGAGAGAGGCCTGACCTGTGAAATTAGGTGGCAACAGGCACAAAATCCAGGCCCTGAGAAAGCAGCCAAGACCAAGCACATGCTGCCCAGTGTAGCAGTCTGCCAGGGACTGGTGCTGAAAGCCTTCAGTTCTTACCTTCATGGTATCGACGGGCCTTCAGGTTTCTTATTTCCTTGAAGAAACTTTCCTGAAGCTTGTGGATAGATTAAAAGTACTTGGGTCTATGTCACCTGCTCGTTGGCATCATTATGGCTGGCAGGATTGTTGAGAAGGACAATATTCTATTTTGTTTGCTGTCCTGCGTTAGAAGCTTCAAATGCTTTCACTGTTCAGGTACTCTGCCTGGGCACTTGACATGGATATGTTGTTTTCAGTGTTTCTCTTCTTAAACTAGTTTTGGCTTATAATAAGCAAAGGCTTTGGAGAGGTTTTTCACAGGTCCATCTCCCTTGTTGGGCTGGTTGGGGGTTAATGGCAATCCTGGCAACAGTCACTTGTTGCATGAACCCATTCTGCAATGTTTCTAAGCCTAACCATATGATTAATTATGGAGGAAAGCTACAAAAGTGTCACAAGGACTTGTGGACACTTGTGGATACTCTGACTCATAATGTTTCTTTTTGTTTTTTTTAGAGTGCCTGGGCTGAGAAAGAAAGTACCTTGAAAAGATCAGAGAAGGTAATCAGCCTCTCTGCACTAAACTGAGTACCTGCAATAGTTACTTGCACATTACTGTTAATGCCATAACTTCTCTTCATTGGACAAACTGTATAACTGTGATTGCAGACATTCCAAGAAGGGTATGCCAGATCATTTCTTACATGAAAGGGAACCCTTGTCAGGACAGTCATTTCAGATCCCAGAATTTTATGCAAATGGAGAGGAAGTTTCTAAACCAGAGTCTCCCAGTTAGTTATCAAATATCCTTTATTTAAAAAAAAGAAAGAAAGAAAAAAGAAAAAGATCCTTCTGTCAACACCCATATGAAACAGGGAGAAAGGAGAAGAAAATTGGCCTGGGCTGCACCATCTGATGAAGGGTTATCTGGTTCTTAGCTACCATGGAAGCATGTTATCACCAGACAGCAGTCATGCTGCTTGGTGAGCAGTACTTTACCTGCAACTATGTTAGACTTTGCAGATGCTGCATTCCCTGTCACAGTTCCTTGTAATGCAGAAGTAACCACAGCCAATAAATGACTGAGAAGACAGGGAGTCACACTCAGTCCCTAGTCCATAGCTGACCAGTTCATATTTAATGTGTTGATTATTTAGAAGGAATGTGGGATGAGTGCCTGTGGCTCATGCCCGTAATCCTAGGCTGAGATCTGAGGATCATGGTTTGAAGCCAGTCTGGGCAGAAAAGTGTGAGACTCACTTCCAGTTAACCACTAAAATGCCAGAATTAGAAGTAAAGCTCAAGGAGGGAAGAAGCTAAGGCACAGTACCCAGACCCTGTGTTCAAGCCCCAGTACCAAACAGTACAAGGAAAAAAATAGAAGGAATATGGGAGAATCAAAACTAAAAATACAAGCCAGGCATTGGTGGCTCACACCTGTAATCCTAGCTACTCAGGAGGCTGAGATCTGAGGATCAAAGGCTTTTTTTTTTTTTGGTCTGGTCGTGGGGCCTGAACTCTGGGCCTGGGCGCTGTCCCTCAGCTCTTCAGCTCAAGGCTAGCGCTCTGCCACTTGAGCCACAGCACCACTTCCGGCTTTTTTTCTCTTTGCATATGTGGTGCTGAGGAATCAAACCCAGGGCCTCCTGCATGCAATGCAAGTGCTCTACCACTGAGCCACCTTCCCAGCCCGCAGTTCAAAGGCTTTTATCTCCACTTAACCACCAGAACACTGGAAGTGGCTCTGTGGCTCAAGTGATAGAACACTCACCTTGAGCTGAAGAGCTCAGGGACAGCACCCAGGCTCTGAGTTCAAGCTCCATGACCAATAACAACAACAATAACAAAAACCCTATGAACATGGAATGTGGATCTATCTATCTATCTATCTATACACACACACATATACATAAAATATCTCTATTTAGATATATATTATATCTTTATGTGAGCTTCCATTCAACCCATAATGTGACCTTTGCCAAATGTGCAGATTCCAGGCCCTTCTAGCACAGCATTGGATAGCATGCTGGGCCTCAGGCCTGTAGACTTGGCTCTGTGCTCATGGGATTGCTGGGACACTGGCTTTGCATAGACCCCACTGCATACAGAAACTTCCAGTCTATCAACTATGCCTGCTGATATTACCACCTAAGCCTATTGCCATCAGGCCTTGGTTGCTCCTGTGGGTATTGTACCACTCTTGTCATCTGAGGAGGGTCAGACACCCTCAGGACTAAAGGACATCCCACTCCCAACCCAGGAGATAAGCAACAATTTCTTACTCACTGTGTCTCCTTTCTCCAGGTCCCATGCAAAACATTGGGCACCCTCATGGTAACATGCTATTACCTCTGACATGCTGGAATCCAGCCACATACACATAGCTGGCCTTGATTGTGATTTTGTTGTCTTTGCCTGGAATCATACCTTCTCACAAGAATTAGCCACACCTGATTCACTTGACAGCGCATGTGACACTTGGTGGAACTTAGGAGACACCTTGGTCTCCAGGAGATCTCAGCTCTGCTCTGTGTGGTCTCTGGTCCCCACCCTAGAGGGACTGTGTCCTCTGAGGTTGGCTGAGCACCCATAGGTGCCAGGCACTAAGCCCCCTCCATCGCATACTTAGGTGGCTTATAGCTAACAACGTTCACAGGATTTCATGCTTTGAGTACCATGGTATTGCTATCTACTATTCTTTGTGCTGTGGTGTTTTCTCAGAGAGACAAAGAGCTACTGAAGGCCAAGTTTCTCCTGGTTTACCATGACTGCGTGCTTCCACTCCTGCATTCTGCCCTCCTGCCTCCATTCCGGTGGGCAGAAGAAGAGACCGAGGATGCTCGATGGAAAGTCATCGCTGACTTCCTCAAGCAAAACAAAGAGAACCAGGGTGCCCTGAAAACCTTGCTGTCACCTGATGGAGTCCATGAACCTTTTGATCTTTCAGAGCAGACCTATGACTTCTTGGGTGAAATAAGAAAGAATTTGGCCTAAAAGTGTGTCCTTGGTCCCCAGCTTCCCACTGCATTTGCTGGACCCTGTGATGGCTTGAATCAAATGACAGAACCAAAACAAATGACTCCTTGTAACATGGATTTGAATTGTTTTTATACACATATTTTTAACAAATAGCAGTCATTTTAGTATATTTTAAAACAATAAAGCATATAAAGAATACTGTTGCGTCTAATTTGAAGGTTTTTTTCCCCAAAAACAAACTAAATTAGCTGGGCACTAGTTGCTCACACCTATAATTTTAGCTACTCAGGAGGTTGAGATCTGAGGATCACAGTTCAAAAGCCAGCCCAGGTAGGAAAGTCCATGAGACTCTTATCTCCAATAAACTACTCAGAAAAATCTCAAAGTGGTGCTGTGGTTCAAGTGGTAGAGCACTAGCCTTGAGCCACAGAGAGGCTCAGGGACAGAGCCCAGGCCTTGAGTTCAAACCCCAGGACCAGCAAAAGAACAAAACAAAACAAAAACCCTAAATTAATTGATGGTATAGATTTCTATGAAAATAAGATCTTATTGGGCTGGGAAGTTGGCTCAGTGGTAGAGCGCTTGCCTTGCATGCCTGAGGCCCTGGGTTCAATTCCTCAGCACCACATAAGCAAAAACAAAAAAGCCGGAAGTGGCACTGTGGCTCAAGTGGTAGAGCACTAGCTTTGAGCTGAAGAGCTGAGGGACAGTGCTCAGGCCCAGAGTTCAGACCCCACAACCAGACCAAAAAAAAAAAAAGAAAATAAGATCTTATCAAAAACTACTCAAGAAAGTGAAGACCATCCCAGAATAGAAGATATTTCTAAATTATCTGATGTGTAGTTAGAATATATAAATTTAGGAGTGTCACTAAATTATTATCTTGTCATTTGAATAATTGTGCATTGAATGTGATTTATCCCTAATTAAATACAAAAGCAGAATCATCTGTCATTTTAAATCAATATAAGTGTAAAAAAAAATGTCACCCAAACAAGGCCAGGCACTGGTGATTCAGTCCTGTAATCTTAGCCACTCAGCAGAAATTAGGAGGCTTCTCATTCAAGACTGTCCTAACAAACTTAAGGCCCCATCTCAATTAATAGCTGGATATGATGGCATGAGCTGTCATCCTAGCTCTCCAGAAAGTATATAAATAAGCAGATCATAGTTCAGACTAGCCTGTGCATGCATACATTAGAAAAACTGCAAAAAAAAAAAAAGGCAAAAAGAGCTAGGGGCATGGCTCAAATAATAGATACCCTAGAAACTACAAGGCCCTAAATTCAAAACCTCAGTACAACAAAAAAGAAAAAGCTAACTAGGCCAGATTCCCATGGCTCACATCTGTAATCCTACCAACTTGGGAAACTGAGATCAGTAAGATTATGGCTGAAGGCCAACCCTGGCCAAGAAAAAAAAAAATGCATGAGACTTCATCTCAACCAGTAAAAAGCTGGACACAGTGGTATACACCTATCATTCCAGCTACACAAGGAACACAGTCTAGGCTGATTGGACAAAAAGTGAGATCTGGCTAGGGATATGGCACAAGTGGTAGAATACCTGTCTAATAAGCACAGAGCCCTGAGTTCATACCCCAGTACTCCTCCCACCCCCCACTCCCGAAAACAAGCAAAAGTTGCAGGCATTGAAGAGTTGACTCCCTCTTTCAGAGAACAGAAATAATGAGATGAGCTAATTAAGTCTCCTTGCCTATCAGATGGGGAATGTCCCAAGCGTCTTTAATGTTGTTAATTATCAGTAGCATCTAACATTGCTTCCAGTGCCTACTGGAGACCTGGCAGGGTCGTCATCAGTTGACTTAAACAGTTGTAGCTGGCAATAATTGCGAGCCTACTATGTCTTTAACAGTGTTCTTGGTTAGCTCACTAGTCTCACAACTACTATTAGAAGTAGGTACCAGCTTTTTCCATATTACTGCTGAAGAAACAGGTCAGGCAGGTTGATTTGCCCAGGCAGGGTCAGAACTAATAAGTAGCATAATGGATATACCAAGTAAACATGACACTTCTCTAGTGTCTAAGACGTTTTACCTTATCGATGCAAACTTACAAATTGCATGTAAATACAATTTGAAAAAGCCACTGAAAGTATGAATGAATGAGTTAAACCTAAACCATTAGACTTCCATTAGATACTTTGTGACAGTGTGCAGCCATAAAAGAGGCATTTATTTCTAGAGATCTGTTGTATTATAAAACTCTTGGGCTATAGCATTCCCCAAAACCTTGGTTTATCTCTAAATTTGGTCCTTGTGTTAGTTCGTTTTCTGTTACTGTAACAAATTGCCTGGAGCTTGGTGACGTAGGAAGTAAGGAGGCTGATTTAGCTTACAGTTTGGGAAGGCATTGTGTCAGATGACACCACACGGCAGGACCTTGAAGAAGAGGGAAAGAGTACAAAATGAGACACTGGCCACAGAACAGAGAGGAGCCCTTTTGCAACCACTCAAGAACTGACTTGGGCTCCTACAAGAACCCTCTTGATCCTTTCTGCAGGTAGCATAGCCTTGACCCAAACCTCTAGGCTTCACCTCTTAGAAGTCCTAGTGGCTCTCAACACTGCCACTCTGGGACCTCACTTTCCATGCATGAGATTGTTTGAGACACTCTTCTATTATATCCAAACTATAGCAGTCCTTGGTCTCAGAAATAAACATGATTTCCCAGCCATGACTGTGACAAGTGAGAATTGGGCCTTGAGAAGGAGCTCCCCGCCTCTTTGTTCAGGTCCTCTCCTAGCCATTCCTTTTGCCCTCAGTCATGTGAGATGCTGAGGCTAAGGACTTTTTCCTCTGCCCATCACAAAGCACCTCCATCCCCAGGGTCATGGCCTCTCCTGCTCCTGCCCATGGAGAGGGCTTCTGCCTTCTTCGATGAGGTGGTAACAAGTCCAAGGACTTGTTGAGTTACCTCCTCCTACTCCCCGAGTCCTGGTTTTGAAGAAGCATAATCCTATGTCATTCCCTAGTGTGAACACTAGGATCTTAAGTTCCAGCTTTTTGTGTGTTGAACTATTTAGCTTACTCTTGGCTGGAAGCCAGAGGTGTGGCCTTTGGGACAAAGGCAAATGCTGTATATGAATTCCTTCTAATGAAAGTACAGCATTGCAGGGAGATAGATGTTCTGAGAATTTGTTTTCAGTCTGTCTTCCCTGTTGGTGTGGGAATGTGTCATAAGTTGACAACTGTGTACAAATTCATGGTTTCTGACACAGAAGGGAAGAAAACAGGTTTCATGGTTCTGGATTGGGGAGACAGCCCGCCCCTCCCCCCACTTCCCCAGATGGGGAGCATCACTTCTGCTGCTGTTCAAGGACCCCCATTCCCCTCCATCAGTGCAATCTTGTTTTCACAGCCAAACTTCTCTATGTAAATGTCACGTTTTAACTTCCAAAACAGGAAGAGGTTGTCAAGGAGCCAAAAACATCCTGGAAGCAAGTTCTGGGGCTTCTGTGTCAAGGAGTGTGATTGAGCAACAGAAAGAATGTATCTGGACAATGCTAGCAGAGTGCAATAGAGGGGCGAGCAGCTGACTCGTACATGTGACACAGGATACCCGCACAGTGCCCATCCACATGTGGGCCTACTGAGGCCAGGGACACTGCATGTGAATCATGTAAATTAGCCCTACTCCCCGCCTACTCCCCCCTCCTCCCCTCAGCCTCCTGAGCGTTCATTGGTTAAGGGTCTCATCCACCAGGACTTCTGGAGGTGAAATCCTCTGTGGCCCCCTTGCCTGGATGCTTATGACGGACAACTCAGTGCTGGGAAGTGAGCAAGCATTCACTGCAGCCTCCTGTATGAGGCCAGGACAATGCACACACAGAACCAGCTGAATTGCTAAAACAGCCAGGTGCCCGTGTCCCAAGCTTATAATCCTAGTTACTCAGGAGGCTGAGATCTGAAGATCTTGTTCCAAGCCCATTCGGGGAATTGGGGGAGAGATTTCCTTGACACTCTTTTCTCCAATGAATCACTGAAAAGCTAGAAGGGGAACTATGGCTCAAGTGGTAGAGCACCAGCCTTGAGCCAAAAAGTTTAAAAAACAGTACCCACCCAGGTCCTAATCCAAGCCCCAGTATTAGCATCAAAAAGAAAAGAAAGGGAAAGAAAAGAACAGAAAGGAAGAAGAAAGAAAAAAATATCACTAAACCACTACAAAAAGAACAGCTTCGCCTTGCCACCCCAGTAGCAACTGGAAACCATTGGCTTAACAAAGGGGCCACAAGTGTCATCGGCCAGCAAGAGGGCTTGGTGAGTTTGTAGCATGATAGGATATCCTGTGCCCTCCCCTCTGTGGGAAGCATTCCCAATCCAGTGGTGTTCCCAGGGCGGGGAGATGATCAGAGCTGACTATTCTCTTGACACTGTGTAGTTCTGTTTCCTCAAAACAAAGAGCAGGGACAGGACCCTGCTTCCTTAGGGCATGATGGCTGTCAGACCTAGAATTGTCCATGTATTTACTCAACACAGCATAGGCTTGGCAGCTTCACTGCTCCTCACCACGAGACCTGTCCTAACTTAAAGTTCGTGAAGCACACAGTCATTACACAAGACAACCACACAAGGTCATGGGTGCCTAGGAAGCCCACCATTGTCTAGTATTGTCATTAGATTTCAATTCAAACTGTGCTGTCGTTCACAGGGATTTCTTCATCGCTCGCCACATTCCTCCAAGCCCCATTGTCTGACACCAGCTAAAGGCAGATACATTTCTAGATGAATCCTCACCATCTGCACTCTTACAGTCATTCTCTCCAACTCTGAAATGCATAGATTTGATAGGTCCACATCTCTGAACATCTGCACCAGCCTGATTTGGGACAGTGACCACCTGGACTTGGGTAGAAGGGACAGTCACATGGGGATAAGGAAATGGCGAGTGCAGGGCTGACCTGCCCCCAGGTGGGATAGCAGAGACCTTGGGCTTCTGACTCAGCAATGATTGATCCTGAGTGAGGGCAGGCAGAATGTGGGCAGCAATATAAAACAGAAATCATTAATGGACTGCAGCTCAGGCTTAGGACTCTGGTAGCTAGTGTGTCTCTTGATCAGTCCCTTTCTCTTTATTCCCTGTGAGGCAGGTTGGACCTTAACCTGCTCATTCGTGGCTCACTTTGCCAGAAAAGATATAGCTGT